AGCACGATGATGATTCTAATGAGGAAGATGATAGTACATCAGTGAGTTTCTGATCCCCTTTCTCTTATCTTTAGTTAGACTATTTTTTTTTTTTTGCTTACTAGATTAGTTGTGCATGATTAGGGATAGATTTTAGATAGTTTTGATTTTGTTTATCTGGAAGCATGCTGCGAACAGTTGAGAATTGTGTTTTTGTGTTGACTGGAGTCTCTATTCTCATGTATATCAAGACTACTGCTGCCCAGCTTCTGTTTTTGTGACTTTTCTAGTGAATGTGCAATTGTATTATCAATTTTAAGCATGAAAAGTCTTGAATTTACCATCTTTAAGTAGGTTCTTGTTCTTTTCTCATGTCGATGATGATATTTAGGAATATGCATGAGCTTTGTTTTTTCTATTATTTAGATCAAGCTATGATTCATTTGCTACGTTATTTTAGGATAAAATCATTTTCTCTTCTTTTAACCTTTAAACTTTTTACATCTTTTAAGAGGATCCTTGTCCTTTAGTAGTAAAAAAAATTTTACGCACCTTCAAAATTTTCACACTTAAAATCAGTGAGGACACTGTGTCCTTCAAGTTTGGGGGAGTTGCTTCCCTCAAGTTTGGGTGGAGTAGCTTAAGCAAGCCTAATAGAATGTTAAGATGCAGTGAGCCAAAAAAATAAGAGAGGTAAGAACAACTGTGGAAAAACAAGAAAACAATTTTGTGTTCTTGAAAAAAAGAAGAGTGGCAAAAGAAAAAAGAAATCAGTGAACTTAATGAGAGGAAAAGTAAGGAAGCTTGCCTTAACTCAGTTCCCACTCTGTTTGCGAAAAGAGTCTCACTTAGGGATATTCGTAATTTTATGGTAGCAACTTCGATCTAGCTTGACTTTGTGCAACTCACTAATCGACAAGCTCGGATTGGTTGCCAGCCTAGAGAATCCCTTGAGTGAATGTTCTGTTTTTTGAGTCATTTTTGTGCTATAAAATTTTCATTAAAGGGAGTGTGCATAGTCTCTACTGGATTTGAAAAAGTTTTTTGAGTTAGACAATAGAAGAATTCGAAAAGTTTTTATCTTTTAAACAAAGGTGACCTTATGATGATTTTGCTTGAGAAAGGAAGTAGGGATCAGAGCTTTGACGTTCCTCCTGAGACACCATATGAGCAAATTACTCAGTTCTGCTTGATGTTTGGTTTATTCTTGAATTTTGCATGTTTGTTCTTGATTTTATAATTGTTGTTTTTATTTGAGGACAAGCAAATATTATGTTTGGGGGTGTGATAAGACTTGATTAAAGGCTAAAAAGTGTAGGTTTACATGTTTAGTTGATGGTTATTTAGGATGAAAAATGTTTGTTCATGCATATGATTTAGGGAAAATGTGCATAATTTGTTATTAGGGACTTTGGAATTCAGTTATAG